GCAAAGTTTTAGAGATTTAGATCTGAAAATTAGACCAAAGGTAGATCTAATATGGAACTATAACATATACAATTTTCTCAAAAATCTGTAGTCAAATTTTTTTTTGTATTTAGGAAAAACCCAGAAAATAGGGTAAATTTACACTTTGGCCGTAGTCAGTTTCTAGTGTGCTATGTGTGTGTGAATCAACAGTCAACAGGTAATGAAAATATTTTCATTATATTGTTAATCACGATATATGGGTAACTATGACAGTACATTTTTATAGATAGACGACCAACCCTTATCGCATCCACCCTGCACAAGACTAAATATTAAGTTTTAAGTATTGCTGGTCCCACGATATCTTCTAAACCGCTATAACTGGTTTGAACATACTATCCACAGATTCGCATCGAGGCGTTTATTTAAAAATGATTTTATCACTTTTAGTTGTAATAAAATCTGTATACCTGTGACCTCTCCGTCCCCACTATGCCCCGGCCCCACTGTACTGGCTTTTTATTATTATTGTTATCAATATCTATAATTATGTAATTTGTGGCGTTGGATGTTATGTTTATATATTTTTTTTGGAACGAAGTTCCTTATCGCGGGTTGGTGAGGGGACCTAGCCGAGAAAAAATGAAAACGCGTTATGAAAATTATATGTGGTGCGGTCGAGCGTGATCGGTTCCTAGGAGTGAGTGGTACCGGGTTCAAATCCGGCTCCCCTCTCAACACTTTTTGTATTTTCTTACAACTATTATGGTAATTTATATTGCAAGAAGTCTAAAAACTAATAAAATATTTATATTTTATTACTACAGAATACATTTTTGCCCTTAAAAGTACTTGATAACCTACATTGCATTCGGTTTTTCGTCATTTATTATACTTCTCGTACTGATGATTGAATAACAATTTTTTTTGTATAATTGCACTATTTTAGAATTCAGCCTGTAAAGTTGTAGGACTAAAAAACTAATGAAATATAATGTTAATTGATTTTTCATGATACATATTATAATTTGGTTTGAGAAAATTATGAAAATTAATAATTATCATTGATATACGTCTAAAATATGTGACCTCATTACGTTTCATTGTTATGTTAATAACCGTTTGTACCAAAGTAACTATGAGTGATATTGTACGAGATCAAAATATGTAATACAACATTTCTTGTATGATTAACACAATCTTTTACAATTATCTACTGAGATCTATTGAAACAGTGGCTCTCTGACGCTAACGCTCTCGGCCATTAAGTTTGCAATCTGTATTTTCAGTTCAGTTTAAATATATGTGCCAGTGTGTTATTGTAATATAAAAAAACTATGGAGAGTGATGCGAGTGACAGTGATTTGCGAAACATACACAGGTCGACAAAACGTAAGTAACATAACGATAATTCGTTCTTACAAGGTGAGGTCACAGTAAAGGCGTGACGGATTTTCTACAATTTGGGAATAAATGTTATTTATGAGAAATAAAAAGACCCTTATTCGAGCGTTTGTGCCGATGCGTTCTAATTCCAGAGATAATCAACTTTGAAATTTACATATCTTTTAATGTATCTTAAATAGACCTATTTTACGAGCGTTAATCAAAACTATATGCGGTGCGGTCGAGCGTGATCGGTTCCCAGGAGGGACTATTACCGGGTTCACATCCCGACTCCCCTCTATCTCTACAATTTTTGCATTTTTGTACAACTTTTTTTTTCAACCTTTATGGTAATTTATATTGCAAGAAGTCTAAAAACTTTTAATTATGTTATTTTTGGTTACGGTAATCATATCTATAATATGTTTGCCATCTTGTGGTAGGGGTGTAATGAGCCCATAGCTCAGGATTATATTGTCAATTTATGATAATGGATTATATTATTTTATATATTAATTATGTTGTTTTGCAGGATGTCATGATCAGCTAGGTGACATCATAGACCTTAAACTTTTATATATTAACTACGCAGTATTTCTGATTGTAAACTAGAACACGTCTGGTAACACCCTATTGTATTTATTCTTGTATTTGCTATTAGGCAATCCCAGTTCTTTATATTAACGTCATTCACTAATTTACACATTACTATATAAACGGTCTTTTAATTAACCACAAAGGTTAGTTACTTATGCCAGATCATAGACAGTAATGTTGTGTCAGTAAACAGTTATAATTATATATTAAATTGTGTTGTATGTTTTATTATAAATTGCAGTTTAAAAAGTCTTTTAAGCTTAAAAGTGTTATTAGTTATTCTCTTGGCCCTCAATTCCATGTAGTTTAGCTGTGCTTACTACAAGGGGATTAATGTTAAAACTGAACGTTTTGTTTAGGGTATTGCTGATTTTGAGGGTAAAGGGTGGCTTTATGTATACATATATAAGTATCAAAGCGTTTATTTCAATGTGATTTTGTCAATTTCAGTTAAAGTGATTTCTATAGACCCCTTCCAATATGCATCATTCCTTTTATGCCCCGACCGTACTAAGCTGGCTTTTTTTTTGTCCTTTTTTCAGAATGCAATTGACTTTTAAAAACTTAAACCGTAGCGTATGTAACATTTAATGAGCATTTTAAATAAAGAACAATTTGCGGAAAATGTATAGCAATTTTCTCCAATTTTATGGATATTTGTTACTTTTAAAAATTTATTTATTTTTTACTTCAGAGTAACGATTTTGGAAAATAGTGTAATTTTTTTTAAACAGTCGAAGAATCGGTGGCATTTGTTAACATCTGCGACGGCTGACAATACAAACAAAGCTTGTAGTTTGACGCTGCAAAATATATTTGCCGGGCGAATTGTAAAATTTAGGTCCCACATTTTATAACTTATTACTGATTCGACAAAGGGAATAATCGAAAAATTACAAAACAATGGTAAAACATAAAAAAATGTTCGCCAAATAGTCATTAACGGTTCTATTTTATTGAATTGTTTGATTGTATAATTTGACCATCTCGAGAAAATAGATTTGACAATGCGGACTGTCACTTGCAGCTATTATAATGCTATAAGTCTACAAATCAGTAAATTGCACATGAAGATAATATAACATTAGAAAACCTTTTTTATATCTTTGATGACATAGCCGAGAAGGTATTGGTTTTGTCAAGATGTTTTGTCCTGTGGACCGAATTAGTCGTGCAGCACCTTAATAGATCCCAAATTTCGACAACCCCATCCCCTCTGTATTTGTTGACATTATGTGTATATTATTATAATGCAAGCCCATATAAGGGCTTTACATCTAATTAATGTTCAAAGTCATGAGAATTTGTAAATGATTTTTTTAAGTATAATTGAGTAGGTACTATTTATTTTGTATATGTGACCGGATGGTTATTAATTATGGAAAAGGGAGAAAGAGTTAAGTATTTACTACAGCAGACCCCCCTATAATTTTCATTTCAAAGTTATTATCGATAAGTTTGGTGGTGGTTTTAAAAGTTTTAAAGTTAGGATAAGAGGGACAAGTGCCGCTGGGAAATGCGCGCAGATAAAAATAATACTACTCCACCTTTCCTCCTGCCCTAAACTTGAAACTTCAATAACTTCAAACATAGCTATCCATAACTGGTTATCGGCCAGTCAGAATGTTTAGTACATTATTCTCAATTTAAAAAGTTAATAAAATATATACATTACCATTTAGGTTTCAAAAGTTCCTATCGAAAAAACTAAGTTGGAAGGGGGTTAAAACAAAAAAATTAATTGTGAAAAATTAAGATCAAATTGTATAAAAACGATATGAAAAGAAAAATGTAAATTTCTTGTTAAACCCTACGAGATATTGAGTGGCTCATGACAAAAAAAATGGCCCTGTATAATTTTTTATTACTGTATTATAGACAATCCGAAACTAAATCAAAAATTGTAGCAACCACCAAATTAGCCAGTCGAGGTGAATGCTATTGATTCGCGATGAAGAAACTTTGCCAATAAATCATTCTCAACCCAGCAGTTCTGTAAGTACAAAGTAGATATTATTAAGTGGCACTATAGCAGAACGAGCATGTTCTCTATTAACACACACTGAGAATGATAAAATATAGTCATGTTGCCAATGTTGTGAATTTCCAGGTTTCCATAATACATGGCTCTAATAAACAATCTAGTCTAAGGTATACATAAATTGTAATTTTTTTCTAAATCACTTTTATAAATACCCTAACAATGGTTGATTTGTGGACTTAGACTTGTAAATGACTATTATAATAATTATTATTATTATACTAAAAACTACTTATGTAAAAATATTATGATCTATTTTATTTTTTTCGTTGCATTTTTAAATTGAATAGTGTATTAGTGTATCATGTGTTTGTTCATCATGCCATACAAAGAAATACAATTAATAAGCACTCGACTTTCTATATAGTCAATAAATTATAATTATGCTAGAAATATTTTAAATATATAAGTATTTTAAGCTCTAAAATAATATATGTCTAAGCTTTTTAATGGTGTTTTGATGTATTTTCACTATTCGTTCAATATACATGTATAAGTCAAGTGCATCGGCATCTTACAATTACTTAACTGGATAATGTGTGCATGATATCAAGCGAAATAATTTAATTTAAAAAACGTTACAGACGATTGGACGTTTTTAAGAATAACTTAAGTCTGTCGGTACGGAGATATTGGCTTCGACGAGGAGCTGAGAGGCTCTTGTTTTTACAATTGTGTGTATATTATTTATTTTGACATTTTCTCTACATAGCGGACAGCTAAAACTAAATCCATGTTAAGCGAATTTGTATGTACTTGGTTACTTTGTTCCATCTCGACTATGAAAATATTCATAAAATATATAAAATGCTGACTTAGAAGAAAACTAATATATGTGCGATTTTCAATTCACTGAAAATGTACACAAAGAAATGTAAACAACTAAAGAACATACAACGGCGGTTATGCTAACACCGTTTATTTGCATGGATTTCACGAAGAAGTTACAGGTTGAACCGATGATCATCAACGCTTTAGTGTTTCTTGAGCTATAGCAAGTATCTAACGTCACTAAACTATCAACAATATGTACAGTCATTTCAGTGTCATTCTGTTATGTCTTTCCGGAGTTTATTGCATATCGTCTAGGATTGACAATTTAGAATGGGAAGAACTAAATGAAATTTTAAAAGGCCAAACCGACATTGAGGAATGGAGTGTAACTATGGACCAGTATATTCTTAAAAAAAACGATGATGGCTCAAAAACCCCTTTTCACGTTGGGAACGCTTTGGAAAAATTTGCGCATGAAGTGGAAGTCGACGAAAGTGCTCTGGAAAAATTCGGATCAATCCACGATACAATCAAAACAGCATACCAATGCGCGTTAGCAAAGTACACAAGTCTTGCCAATTTCTTGATAGTACAGGACATTTTGATGGTCAGAAAACTGACAGACGATGCTGTAGATTATGTAAACCTGTCAGAAGAACAAGATATAAATACTTTGTTTAGACAAACATTTCATGAATACAGCAAGGAGAGATATCACTTGGACTTCGACGTTAATGTTGACGCAGATCAATTCAACATACTCACCAAACACGGTTATGACACTAAACAAAAGCAGGAAATCCACAATATATTTTTTGACATGATCAGAAAGGAGATTGGTGTGAATATCAGACACAAAACCTATCCGGATGTTCTGAAAGCGAATCTTCCAAACCAACATGAACAAGAACGTGTCGAAACTCTCAACAAATTAATTTGTGTTCTCAACGAGTCGATTATGTTGCTTGACAATTTCATCGTAGACAAGTGCGTAGAACACGAGGGCAATTTTGTAAAAAATTTCGAATCCCTAAAAAATGGCGTCACGGGAGATTTAATGTGGCTTCTACATTATTACGATGAACAGAAGGCCAGAGGCGCTGTTGAATTGTACAGTGATTTTACAAGAACTCACCCAATAGGGGCTTCAGGCTGCTTCGTAGAGAATTTGGAAATCAAGGTTGCTGGTTTACAATGGGATCTGCCAAACAATAACATCCCGACCATTTATGGCCCAACCGCATACCGGTATGATATCAAATATTATAACATAATATCATCAAATTTATATTCGTATTCAATAAAAATATTTTATCAGGTCTTATCATATAATATATTATTATTATTGTGTTTTAGACAAACCGAAACTAATTACAAAATTATACCAACCACCAATCCGTCGCCAGGCGGGAGCAATGTAGCTATGGTATTGTTTCGCGATCCAGACACTTCGTTTGAAAATATGTATCGACCCAGCAGTTCTGTAAGTATAAAGCATTGATATTAAATAGAACTGTAGCAGACGAGCACGTTCTATTAACACATAATGAGAATGATAAATTATAGTCAAAAGGCTACTTATGTTGTTCAGGTTTCTAAAAAACATCACTATAATAAACAACTTCTTCTGTAGAATACAGAAATTGTATAATAGTACAACCTCAACAATATCTTAACAAAGAATGAGGATGGTAAAGTACTTCTTACGTATCCATAAGGTCGCGAATTTCAAGTTTTCAATCAACATACACAACTATTCTGTAGTTATAACTATTAACCTATGTTTTATCATATAGTAAAAAAAATAAGAATGTTTTCTATTGAAGTAAAATTTGCTACTTACAGGAAAAACCAAACTCATATCCACTTTTAACAATTTTTCCACTTTTATACGTCGATCCTCTAACATTTTTCGTTTTTTTATTTCAGAGAGGCGTTCAACGGTTAAATGTAATCGTAGACGCATCATATTGTCCAGTGATGTAACAAGGTATGCTACCTATTATTTATTTTTCTTAACATGTTTTCCAAATAACTTTAACAACGATTGGCTATGGGTACGTGTAATAGACATTCAATTTTTTTTTAATACACCTAACCTACTCTAATCTACCTATACAGGCTTTTTCGTGATTAAGGTTAACTTAAATTTTTTTTCCATAACTTGCTTAGTAAAAACATGTTTAAACGTTTTATTACACCTTAATATAGAATGAGAATCGTAAAGTACTGCCTATTAACCAATAAGGTTATTTATAATAAGTTTTACCAAGGGCATCCGAAAATCATACTCATATCGATTTTTTAACATTTTTGTACGTTTTTTTCAGCGCTCCAGAAACCAACACTGTTAAAGTGGGATCCATTTTAAATAATTTACACATACGTTTTTCAAATAATAATCGAATCTATAATATTATAATATAAAAATTATTGTACAATAAATCAACTTTGCATCTTATGGTACTTTGTTTTTTTTATTCATTTTCCAAAATAACCTTAACAACGGTTGTCTGTCAAAACGGCACAGGTGCAAATAAATGGATATCTTGTAGAGATTAGATCTTTTTATCATGAAAATTGTATTATACAAAGCGTTCGGCATTGATTTTAAGCCGTTTAGTAGTGTATTACTATACCCAAATCTGCGATTGGTTAGATTGTTACACTTTGTCGAGCCAACTTATTTATTACAAAATAAATATTTTACTAAACTTAGTGTATGTTTATGGAGTAGAAGTGTTGTTTTTCAACTGTTGACCACACCAAAAGAATTGATAAAAAAAAAACGGTTAAACACATTTAAGTGATCAAAACAACATCTATGATATACATCAAGTTGCTAAACATAGCTGACCTAAACTATAGCGTTTATTTAAAAGTGATTTTATCACTTTCAGTTATAATAATTTCTGTAGACCTATGACCTACCCGTCCCCACTATACCCCGAGCCCACTCTACTGGATTTGTTTTTTACTGCCATCTATAGATATTCATTAATCAAGTATTATATTTTAATCAGAAAACTGCGTCGATCTAACGACAAAATAATTTATAAAACTTTCAATGTTCGAATTTCGAACTTCAAAAAATTGGCATCATCAAGTTATTAATTGCGTTAACCGTTACATGCATAAAAAACCAGACGAGTTGTGACGTCGCACTTACGGAAAAACAAACGATGCATATTAGCAGACCGAAACACTGGCAAGACATATGGTTCGATAAGGTCAAAATCCAAACGGAATGGATGGACAAACATGATTTATCTAATCCAGATCACAGTTTTAACACAATAGATAAGTTGAAAGTTATTCCTTATGTGATGATGATGTAGTTATGGACAAAAATTGAATGACTATCTGAGATTAACGATTCATACGGTCCGAGAGTGTACAAGTTTCCCACAATACTTTGGTTACTGATCATTGTTTTACGAAACTAAATGGTAGTCTCCAAACATTTGCCTCGACTACATTAAGTTTGTTGCGCGTACTTGAGCTGCATCATTCATTCGACAGCAGTATAACTCTAAGTGCACTTTACGATCAACTATGGGTGGCTCACCTTTTCACCATACATCAAGGTTTTAACTGGGAAATCATGACTGTTGTTTAATACTTGGAGAACGTTTTAACACTGACTGCAACCAGAACGCAGTGCATTCACATAGAGGTATTAAAGACTGCATATGAAATCAACTGCTTTATTGAACGCTACGAATTTTATGTAAACACTCTTCAAATTCTTACAATGCATATATAGGCGAGCATTGCGTAAGTTGGGTTTTCAATACAACGCGAAGAAAGACGTGGTCACCTTTATTACTCCGTATACCTAAGTCAGTATATTCAGTTATAAGACCGCACAGAAAAGATACATTTTCACATAAAATTATTTTTTTTTTTCATATAAAAATGGTAAACTATATAAAAATTGGTAAAAAATATATTAAATATGCGACGTTTGTGTGTTATAATCTTATTAGATATAATTATTCGTTACAATACATTTTTTTCAATAGGTAAAATTCATTATAATTATTATTTGTAGATTTATTGGTTTCAACGTATTTAAATCCATTATAATAAAATATATTTTTAGATTTATTAAAAATAAAAAATTTGTTTACACAAACTGTGTTATTTTTTACTGAAATTTCTTATGGTCGAGCGTGATCGGTTCCTAGGAGTGAGTGGTACCGGGTTCAAATCCGGCTCCCCTCTCAACACTTTTTGTATTTTCTTACAACTATTATGGTAATTTATATTGCAAGAAGTCTAAAAACTAATAAAATATTTATATTTTATTACTACAGAATACATTTTTGCCCTTAAAAGTACTTGATAACCTACATTGCATTCGGTTTTTCGTCATTTATTATACTTCTCGTACTGATGATTGAATAACAATTTTTTTTGTATAATTGCACTATTTTAGAATTCAGCCTGTAAAGTTGTAGGACTAAAAAACTAATGAAATATAATGTTAATTGATTTTTCATGATACATATTATAATTTAGTTTGAGAAAATTATGAAAATTAATAATTATCATTGATATACGTCTAAAATATGTGACCTCATTACGTTTCATTGTTATGTTAATAACCGTTTGTACCAAAGTAACTATGAGTAATATTGTACGAGATCAAAATATGTAATACAACATTTCTTGTATGATTAACACAATCTTTTACAATTATCTACTGAGATCTATTGAAACAGTGGCTCTCTGACGCTAACGCTCTCGGCCATTAAGTTTGCAATCTGTATTTTCAGTTCAGTTTAAGTATATGTGCCAGTGTGTTATTGTAATATAAAAAAACTATGGAGAGTGATGCGAGTGACAGTGATTTGCGAAACATACACAGGTCGACAAAACGTAAGTAACATAACGATAATTCGTTCTTACAAGGTGAGGTCACAGTAAAGGCGTGACGGATTTTCTACAATTTGGGAATAAATGTTATTTATGAGAAATAAAAAGACCCTTATTCGAGCGTTTGTGCCGATGCGTTCTAATTCCAGAGATAATCAACTTTGAAATTTACATATCTTTTAATGTATCTTAAATAGACCTATTTTACAATCGTTAATCAATACTATATGTGGTGCGGTCGAGCGTGATCGGTTCCCAGGAGGGACTATTACCGGGTTCACATCCCGACTCCTCCATCTCTACAATTTTTGCATTTTTGTACAACTTTTTTTTTCAACCTTTATGGTAATTTATATTGCAAGAAGTCTAAAAACTTTTAATTATGTTATTTTTGGTTACGGTAATCATATCTATAATATGTTTTCCATCTTGTGGTAGGGGTGTAATGAGCCCATAGCTCAGGATTACATTGTCAATTTATGATAATGGATTATATTATTTTATATATTAATTATGTTGTTCTGCAGGATGTCATGATCAGCTAGGTGACATCATAGACCTTAAACTTTTATATATTAACTACGCAGTATTTCTGATTGTAAACTAGAACACGTCTGGTAACACCCTATTGTATTTATTCTTGTATTTGCTATTAGGCAATCCCAGTTCTTTATATTAACGTCATTCACTAATTTACACATTACTATATAAACGGTCTTTTAATTAACCACAAAGGTTAGTTACTTATGCCAGATCATAGACAGTAATGTTGTGTCAGTAAACAGTTATAATTATATATTAAATTGTGTTGTATGTTTTATTATAAATTGCAGTTTAAAAAGTCTTTTAAGCTTAAAAGTGTTATTAGTTATTCTCTTGGCCCTCAATTCCATGTAGTTTAGCTGTGCTTACTACAAGGGGATTAATGTTAAAACTGAACGTTTTGTTTAGGGTATTGCTGATTTTGAGGGTAAAGGGTGGCTATATGTATACATGTATAAGTATCAAAGCGTTTATTTCAATGTGATTTTGTCAATTTCAGTTAAAGTGATTTCTATAGACCCCTTCCAATATGCATCATTCCTATTATGCCCCGACCGTACTAAGCTGGCTTTTTTTTTGTCCTTATTTTCAGAATGCAATTGACTTTTAAAAACTTAAACCGTAGCGTATGTAACATTTAATGAGCTTTTTAAATAAAGAACAATTTGCGGAAAATGTATAGCAATTTTCTCCAATTTTATGGATGTTTGTTACTTTTTTTAATTTATTTTTTTTTTACTTCAGAGTAACGATTTTGGAAAATAGTGTAATTTTTTTTAAACAGTCGAAGAATCGGTAGCATTTGTTAACATCTGCGACGGCTGACAATACAAACAAAGCTTGTAGTTTGACGCTGCAAAATATATTTGCTGGGCGAATTGTAAAATTTAGGTCCCACATTTTATAACTTATTACTGATTCGACAAAGGGAATAATCGAAAAATTACAAAACAATGGTAAAACATAAAAAAATGTTCGCCAAATAGTCATTAACGGTTCTATTTTATTGAATTGTTTGATTGTATAATTTGACCATCTCGAGAAAATAGATTTGACAATGCGGACTGTCGCTTGCAGCTATTATAATGCTATAAGTCTACAAATCAGTAAATTGCACATGAAGATAATATAACATTAGAAAACCTTTTTTATATCTTTGATGACATAGCCGAGAAGGTATTGGTTTTGTCAAGATGTTTTGTCCTGTGGACCGAATTAGTCGTGCAGCACCTTAATAGATCCCAAATTTCGACAACCCCATCCCCTCTGTATTTTTTGACATTATGTGTATATTATTATAATGCAAGCCCATATAAGGGCTTTACATCTAATTAATGTTCAAAGTCATGAGAATTTGTAAATGATTTTTTTAAGTATAATTGAGTAGGTACTATTTATTTTGTATATGTGACCGGATGGTTATTAATTATGGAAAGGGGAGAAAGAGTTAAGTATTTACTACAGCAGACCCCCCTATAATTTTCATTTCAAAGTTATTATCGATAAGTTTGGTGGTGGTTTTAAAAGTTTTAAAGTTAGGATAAGAGGGACAAGTGCCGCTGGGAAATGCGCGCAGATAAAAATAATACTACACTCCACCTTTCCTCCTGCCCTAAACTTGAAACTTCAATAACTTCAAACATAGCTATCCATAACTGGTTATCGGCCAGTCAGAATGTTTAGTACATTATTCTCAATTTAAAAAGTTAATAAAATATATACATTACCATTTAGGTTTCAAAAGTTCCTATCGAAAAAACTAAGTTGGAAGGGGGTTAAAACAAAAAAATAAATTGTGAAAAATTAAGATCAAATTGTATAAAAACGATATGAAAAGAAAAATGTCAATTTCTTGTTAAACCCTACGAGATATTGAGTGGCTCATGACAAAAAAAATGGCCCTGTATAATTTTTTATTACTGTATTATAGACAATCCGAAACTAAATAAAAAATTGTAGCAACCACCAAATTAGCCAGTCGAGGTGAATGCTATTGATTCGCGATGAAGAAACTTTGCCAATAAATCATTCTCAATCCAGCAGTTCTCTAAGTAAAAAGTAGATATTATTAAGTGGCACTATAGCAGAACGAGCATGTTCTCTATTAACACACACTGAGAATGATAAAATATAGTCATGTTGCCAATGTTGTGAATTTCCAGGTTTCCATAATACATGGCTCTAATAAACAATCTAGTTTAAGGTATACAGAAATAAATACCCTAACAATGGTTGATTTGTGGACTTAGACTTGTAAATGACTATTATAATAATTATTATTATTATACTAAAAACTACTTATGTAAAAATATTATGATCTATTTTATTTTTTTCGTTGCATTTTTAAATTGAATAGTGTATTAGTGTATCATGTGTTTGTTCATCATGCCATACAAAGAAATACAATTAATAAGCACTCGACTTTCTATATAGTCAATAAATTATAATTATGCTAGAAATATTTTAAATATATAAGTATTTTAAGCTCTAAAATAATATATGTCTAAGCTTTTTAATGGTGTTTTGATGTATTTTCACTATTCGTTCAATATACATGTATAAGTCAAGTGCATCGGCATCTTACAATTACTTAACTGGATAATGTGTGCATGATATCAAGCGAAATAATTTAATTTAAAAAACGTTACAGACGATTGGACGTTTTTAAGAATAACTTAAGTCTGTGGTACGGAGATATTGGCTTCGACGAGGAGCTGAGAGGCTCTTGTTTTTACAATTGTGTGTATATTATTTATTTTGACATTTTCTCTACATAGCGGACAGCTAAAACTAAATCCATGTTAAGCGAATTCGTATGTACTTGGTTACTTTGTTCCATATCGACTATGAAAATATTCATAAAATATATAAAATGCTGACTTAGAACAACACTAATATATGTGCGATTTTCAATTCACTGAAAATGTACACAAAGAAATGTAAACAACTAAAGAACATACAACGGCGGTTATGCTAACACCGTTTATTTGCACGGATTTTCCGAAAAAGTTACAGGTTGAACCGATAATCATCAACGCTTTAATGTTTCTTGAGCTATAGCAAGTACCTAACGTCACTAAACTATCAACAATATGTACAGTCATTTCAGTGTCATTCTGTTATGTCTTTCCGGAGTTTATTGCATATCGTCTAGGATTGACAATTTAGAATGGGAAGAACTAAAAATAATGTTGAACCGCCAAACTCTCATTGAGGAATGGGACATAACTATGGACCAATATATACTTAAAGAAAATGATGACGGCTCAAAAACCCCTTTTCACGTTGGGACCGCTGTGGAAGAATTTGCGCAAAAGGTGGAAGCTGACCAAAGTGCTCTGGAAAAATTCGGATCTATCCGCGACACAATCAAAACAGCATATCAATGCACGTTAGCAAAGTACACAAGTCTTGCCAATTTCTTGATAGTACAGGACATATTTAACGTCAGAAGACAGACAAACGATGCTATATATTATGTATCACATAATCAGATGAACCTCCAGTTATCAGGAGCGCTTACAGATAACTTATTTAGAGCCAAATTTCATCAGTTCAGCGAGGGGTGCTATCACTTGGACTTTGACGTTAATGTTGAAGCAGATCGATTTAACATACTCACTACACATGCTTATGGCACAAAGAAAAAGAAGGAAATTCACAATATATTTTTCGACTTGATCAGAAAAGAGCTTGGTGTGAATATCAGACACAAAACCTATCCGGATGTAATGAAAGCGAAACTTGCAAACAAATATAACAAAGACCGTGTCGAAACTCTCAACAAATTAATTTGTGTTCTCAACGAGTCGATTATGTTGCTCGACAATTTCATCGTAGACAAGTGCGTAGAACACGAGGGCAATTTTGTAAAAAATTTCGAATCTCTCCAACATGGCGTCACGGGAGATTTAATGTGGCTTTTAGAGTATTACGATAAACGGAAGGACAAAAGCGCTGTTGAATTGTACAGTGATTTTACAAACTCGGTTCTGCCAGGAACTCAACCAATAAGGGCTTCGGGCTGCTTCGTAGAGAATATAGAAATCAAAGTTGCTGGTTTAGAATGGAATTTGCCAAACAATGACATCCCGACAATTTATGGCCCAACCGCATACCGGTATGTTATCATATATTAATACATGGTATTATCAAATAACATATTTATATTGAATAAAAATATTTTAAAAGGCCCTATGATATATAATTTATTATTATTGTGTTTTAGACAAACCGAAACTAATTACAAAATTATACCAACCACCAATCCGTCGCCAGGCGGGACCAATGTAGCTATGGTATTGTTTCGCGATCCAAACACTTCGTTTGAAAATATGTATCGACCCAGCAGTTCTGTAAGTATAAAGCATTGATATTAAATAGAACTATAGCAGACGAGCACGTTCTATTAACACATAATGAGAATGATAAATTATAGTCAAGAGGCTACTTATGTTGTTCAGGTTTCTAAAAAACATCACTATAATAAACAATTTCTTCTGTAGAATACATAAAATGAACAATAGATAACCTATTCCACTATTTTTTTTTCTAAATAATTTTCAAAAACAACCTCAACAATGGTTGGCTTGTAGAGTATAGACCCTTAAACCCTTTTAAATACATCTAACCTACCTCAATTTACTTTACTGGCTTCTTAACGTTTTCTTTGAAAACATTTTTTTACAAACTCAGTTATTAAAAACATGTTCGAATATTTTACGATCAACATACACATCTGTAGTTATAATCATTAACCTATGTTTTACCATATTGTAAAAAAAATAAGAATGTTTTCTATTAAAGTAAAGTTTGCTTCTTCCAGGAAAAACGAAACGCATATCCACTTTTAACACTTTTACCAATTTTAATCGTGGATCTTCTAACAATTTTCGTCCTTTTTTTCAGAGAGGCTGAGTCGATAACGACATTAATAATATAATCATAGACTATTGTCCAGTGATGTAAAGAGGTATGCAACCTATTATTTATTTTTCTTAAAATGTCTTCCAAATAACTTTAACGACGATTGGCTATAAATACTTGTTAATTTAGTGATGGGAATCCGAAAATCCGGATTTTTCAAAAAAACGCTTTTTAAGTCATTTTAAAACCATATAATTGTTAAATACTATTACAATATAAATTTGTGTACCTAAGTAAAATTTGTTGACAAAAATTTTTAAAAAAAACTCTTAACTTTGTCTATAAAATGCTTTCGGATTTCGGATTCCGGATTTTCGGATTTCAACAAATCCGAAATTCAAAAGCAGTTTATCTCTTTGGTGTTTTGTTTTATTTTCACATATTTATCAAAAAAATGTTACTTAGATATAGAGCTTTATATTGTAAAACTATTTAACACTTATATGATTTTTAAGTAGCTTAAATAGCGTTTTTTTGTGAATATCCGGATTTTCCGATTCCCATCGCTACTTGTTATAGACATTCAAATTCTTTGAAATACACCTAACCTACTCTTATCTACATTTACATGCTTTTTAGAGGTTAAGGTTTTCTTAATTTTTTTTTCCTTAAACTTGCTTATTAAAAACATGTTTAAATGTTTTATTACACCTTAATATAGAATGAGAATCGTAATGTACTGCCAATTAACCAATAAGGTCATTTGTTATAAGTTTTACCTGGGCCATCCAAAAATCATACTCGTATCGATTTTTAACATTTTTGTACCTTTTTTTCAGCGCTCCACAGACCAACGCTGTTTAAGTGGGATCCATTTTTAATAATTTACACATACGTTTTTCAAATAATAATCGAATCTATAATATTATAATATAAAAATTATTGTACAATAAATCAACATTGCATCTTATGTTACTTTGTTTCTTTTATTCATTTTCCAAAATAACCTTAACAACGGTTGTCTGTTAAAACGGCACAGGTGCAAATAAAAGGATATCTTGTAGAGGTTAGATCTTTTTATCATTCAAATTGTATTATATGAAGCATTTGGCATTGATTTTAAGCCGTTTAGTAGTGTATTACTATACCCAAATCAGCGATTGGTTAGATTGTTACACCTTGCCGAGCCAACTTATTTATTATAAAATACATATTTTACTAAACTTAGTCATTTTATGTTTATGGAGTAGTAGCTGTGTTTTTCAACTATTGACCACACCAAAATAATTTATAAAAAAAGAAAACGGTTTAACACATTTATGTGATCAAAACAACATCTATGATTTACATCAAGTCGCTAAACATAGCTGACCTAAACTTTTTAGCGTTTATTTAAAAGTGATTTTATCACTTCTAGTTATAATAATTTCTGTAGATCTATGACCTCCCCGTCCCCACCATATCCCAAGCCCATTCTACTGGTTTTCTTTTAACTGCCATCTATAGATATTCATAAATCAAGTATTATATTTTAATCAGAAAACTGCGTTGATCTAACGACAAAATAATTCATAAAACTTTCAATGTTCCAATTTCGAAGTTCAGAAACCGTTTTCCAAAACTGGTCATCGACCAGACAAAGTTTTTAATACATTATTATCAATTAAATAGTTAATAGAATATAAATTATTATGTTATGAAATTTATATGTTATACGTTAACATATAAATTTCGAGAGTTGCTATTTAAAAAAACCAAGTTAAAAGGAGAGTAAAACAAAAAAATATTCTGAAAAATTGACATCACGTTGTATAAAAACATTATGAGAAATAAATGTAATTTCTTATTACACCCTATAAGTTATTGAGTGGTTCACTATTAAATGATCATCCTGTATATATACAGTTTTTCATTAATGATAAGACGCTAATTTTTCCTAAGAAGAATAGCAATTTTTTAGTTTTTCTTTTTGAAAATATTTATGCTTATCACATTTTAAATATTACAAATATACTAAATATTAACTTATTTTATTATTTTATGTAATCCTATCAACTCTTAGAAACCTAAATGGTAATAAACCATACGTGTTTAATTTACTATTTAAATAAAGAATAATTGTTTTGAATATCTAGGCTGGTCGATAACCAGTTTTGGGTAAATACAGGTGATTAATGTTAAAACTTATTATTTATCAAATTTTGTTTTGGGTCTTCCAGATTTTGAGGGTGAAGGGTTGATTTATATGTATTAGGGTGGTCTTTAAAAAGTAGATTTTTGGATTTTAACCTCGACATCCCCTTAATTTTTTCTAAATACAATAAAAATAAGATCAAAAAAAAAAAATTTGAAAAATATTATTTTTAACCCATGCCCCATAAGGGTTAAAGTTTAAATGGGATTTTACATGGATTTCAACATTTGTGCACAAATCAACAGATAACTCTTTTTCTACTTCTTAGTTTGATCTGAATTTTTGATGGTTTTATAGCTTGAAGTCTGCTGAACACGAACACCATACTTAAAAGTTCATACCTATCAAAATTACTGCCAGCAATTGAAAGTCTTAACAAAAAATAAGCGTGTTTTGGTACTATTTTAGCTAATTTTTAATAACATTTTATTTTAAGAGGGCGTCACGCCACTTTTTTCGGCGCGTAAAACATGTCTCAGAATATGCAATTTTCTGGGAAACCGAGTGGTTTTAGCGTATACTTGCTAATAAACAAAATTAAAGATTAGGAGTTTATCTACATGTTAACAAAGGTTTTTTTCGATTATGTTACTAGAAACCAAGTTATAGATCTTTGAAATTTTCATTTTTCAATTGCGTATATCTTCGTTTCAAAACATTTTATCGAAAAAAACCTATGTTAATATGTAGATAATCTGTTAATCTTTAATTTTGTTAATAAGCAAGTATGCACGGGTGCATTCCTAGACATGGCCCAGGCCTTCGACAAAGTGTGGCATGAAGGCCTCCTCTTTAAGCTAAAATCCTTTCTTCCTCCATATTTTTATATATTATTTAAATCCTACTTAGAAAATAGACATTTCGCCGTACGTTCAGGTTCCTCCTTGTCTGAAATATCTTCAATTCGTGCTGGTGTGCCTCAAGGTGCTGGCGCAGCCCCTTTATTATTTAATCTTTTTACCTCAGATCAGCCCACAACACCTTACACCACTACCGGTGACTTTGCCGACGAAAAAGCTCTTCTAGCCCTCCACGCCGATCCTGTAACGGCGTCAAACTTCATCCAAAATCACCTAAATCTATTATCAACATGGTATAAAGATTGGGGGATAAAAATCAACGAGACTAAATCCATCCACTGCACATTCACTTTAAAACAAACAGACTGCCCTCATATTTATCTCAATAACATACCCCTTCCAACCGCTCAAAATGTTCGATACCTGGGTTTACACCTAGACCGGCGTCTTACTTGGGCAACTCATATCCACGCCAAGCGTCTCGTCTTAAACAACCGCCTCCGTCAATTACGCTTCCTTCTAACAACAAAACACCTCAACCTCCAAAACAAACTTTTAATTTACAAACTACTCCTCAAACCCATTTGGACCTATGGCATCCAGCTATGCCATAGGGCATAGATATGGGGAGCTGCCAAACCATCCAATATCTATAAAATACAAACATTTCAAAATAAATGTCTCCGTCTGTTAACAAAAGCCCCATTTTACGTCTCCAATGATACCCTCAATCACTTTCAGATTTAAAAATTTTCAAGTCAGTACAGTCCAAACCAAGCACAGTATAAACCAGCAAAGTTAGAAAGTTTTAAATGAAGGTTCTGTATTTACAAATGAGCATCAAAGCGTTAATTTGAAAGTGATTTTATCCGAGAGGACTAGTACAGTAGAGTATTGGCATAATGTAGTCAAAGCAATGAGGAAACGGAGAGGTCACAGGTCTCAAGAATTATTATAAATAAAAGTGATAAAATTGAATAAAATCGCTATGTAAACTTAAAGTCAAAAGTGGTAATTGAGCACAAAACTTAATAGTATCATTCTGCATAGATATACATAAAATTGTTTTAATGATTTGATCAATTTTTTTTAAAGATTTTAGGTGTTTTTGTTAAAATATACGAAATCTGCGAAAACACAGTTTTCCAAGAATTAAAAAAAAACTGTAGTGCCGAATTTTTCACCCTTTTAATATGTTTTGGATACATATGGGTTCCAACTACTGGCAAATTTTCAACCCAAAAGTTTTAAAATTACGGCTAAAAACCTTGAAAAACAAAAAAACTTGTACCCCCCCCCCCTAGGGGAGTGGGAAATGGGTATAGTTTAAATTTGACACAACTGACGTGTGCGGGCATACCAAATAAATATTTTTTATACATTTCAACTCGATCCGACTCTTTTTCTCGAAATTATAGCCAGTAAAAGTTCTAACTTAAAAACTCGTACGGTTTTTTTTTGTTTTTTCAACTTTCGTCTGTGAAGAAGTAAACTTTTTCAACTTTTGCCCCCCCCCCCCAAAGTACAAACTAGATAAAATTTGTGATTTATAGAGTTGCTATTCGAAGGAATTGGTCTAGTATTAAAAAAGTTACAGTGTATACAGCGAAAAAAAAAGCCCACATCAGAGTAAAACCAATACCTTCTCGCTTTGCATCGAAGCTAAAAAAGTTTATACAGATTCGAATTTGAATCCACTGTGTGTGAACTCAAAGCCTTATCGATCGCATCCGTACGTGAAATAAAAAATATTGGCGATTCTACGCCCCTTAAGCTGTGTTACTCACAGCTGTGGTACTCTATTATCGTTGTAATAAAAAAATAACTAACTATGCCAAAACTGAAGTAGAGAAATATTAATGAATAGATACAAATTATTATTAATCGTGTACTATTTACGTTTGTGCCTACCTGACACTTATATATCCACATGTATAATAGGGGAGTTGGTAGTGGCCACAGCGAGACACTAATAATAATTTTTCAAATAGGTACCCAATTATTTAAATTTAAATGATACTGAATTCTAATGTGTACGAATATATTCCAAATTTTCTTAGCTTTTCTAATACACATCAATCAATTGAATAACTGAAGCACATTTTATGTTGG